GGGGGGGGCATGTCATCTGCTGGTGTTGGTCCACTGTGTTTACTGAGGTCCAAGTTCAACGCAGCCATCTACCAGGAAGTTTTAGAGACTTCATGCTTCCTACTGCTGACCAACTTTATGGAGATGCAGATTTCATTTTCCAACAGGACTTGGCGCCTGCACACAGTGCCAAAGTTACCAGTACCCGGTTTAAGGACCATGGTATCCCTGTTCTTAATTGGCCAGCAAACTCGTCTGACCTTAACCCCATAAAAAATTTACAGGGTATTGTGAAGAGGAAGATGTGATATGCCAGACCCAACAATTCAGAAGAGCTGAAGGCCTCTATCAGAGCAACCTGGGCTCTCATAACGCCTGAGCAGTTCCACAGACTGATCGACTCCATGCCACATTGCATTGATGCAGTAATCCAGGCAAAAGGAGCCTCATCTACGTATTGAGTGCTCTACATGCTCATACTTTTCATGTTCATACTTTGCAGTTGGCCAACATTTCTAAAAATCATTTTTTTGTTGGTCTTAAGTAATATTCTAATTTTCTGCGATACTGAAATTGGGGTTTTCATTAGTTGTCAGTTATAGTCATCAACATTAAAAGACATAAACATTTGAAATACTTTGTATATCAGTCTGTGTGTAATGAATGAATATAATATACAAGTTTCACTTTTTGAATGGAATTACTGAAATAAATAGTCTTTTTCATGATACTAAAATTTTATGACCAGCACCTGTAATTTTCAACTATTTGCCTAGTCTATGCTAAAGTCTAAAACTCTTGGCGGACAGGGCTCAGCGACAGCATGTTTGAAACTTGTGGAGTTATACATTTCAAGTGTCAGAAATTTCTTAGATCCGAGTGAATCCTGGTTTAACTGCTCAAAGGCAGCGATTGTTCAAACATCTGCTTGATCTTCACAGGAAATATTCAGAGCCCAGGCTGATCTGAATTCAATTTCCCACCAAATCACTGCGCCAACACAACTCTGCACAAACAGGGACACTGCCCGCTTCACATTCAAACGATTGTTTGTAAAGAAGACATTTTAAGATGAGCAAACACATGAAGTTGACAATTGTACATGAGGTAATGCTGACAAAATGTCTACACAACTGACACACGAGGAGTGACCAGACAATGTTGTGAAAATGTGCAACAGGTACATTCATTCTGAACAGAAAATAACATGGAAACAATGTTTACAGTTGCTCGAACTTTTTCAAAATGACATGATCTGCTAAAAGATACAAGCAAGTTACATTCAAGAAACAAATAATTATAATGAAGAAAAGTCATTCAGAAAAGGTTAAAAGAAAAAAAATATATAGTGTGTTTTAAATCAAATCAAACAAACACGACTCTGCTGTGAGAAACTGGACAGTCAACTTATCTGTACACACACATGCCGACGTTCCAAAAAAAATACACACAGCGTGGGCAGTTTTCATCACTCAGCTGGCTTTTGGGTTCAGTGCATTCTTTAAGGGGGTGCGCTGTTTATGTGGGATGATGGCGGCTGCTTTTTATGGATTCTTGTGTTTTTTGTTTGGCTTTTTTATGGCCCTAACTCATTTGACATACTCAGCTGACTTCCAGAAGTGGCCTGGGTGGGAAAGGCGGCGATTCCTTTTTGGCAACTTTTCCAGCAAATCTACCAGCTTGGAGAAACTGGGTCGCTCTTCCTGCTTGTTCGTCCAGCACATTAGCAAAATGTCCTGCAAGATGCAAAATACAGACAGGAAGATGGTTTATTCCATGCTTTCTTATGAATGAACGTGTGTTGCGCAACTGATGTAGTTCATGTAATTAAAACTGCACCTCATTCAGCAGCAGTGGTTAATGGCACACCTTACATAGCACATCACTCATAGTGTAATGTTTTTTTTTTTTTTTCCCCTGCCACAGTCAGACTGATGGCAAAACAAAACCACTGAATCTGGTGCAATGATTTTTTTTTTTCATTCAACCTTTATTTATATCGGTTAGTCTCATTGAGCCACGAGGGCTCATTTACAAGAGGGACCTGTTCCAGACTGAACATATAAAGTGTAGACAACAATAAGAATAAACAAGAATAACAAAGTAAGAGTAGTGTATAAAGCAATAAATCAGGGTACTGTAAAACAGGGTGAAATGCTAAAAACAAGAACATATCTGCCTTAATTTTTCCATTGACATCATCAAAAGTTTGAAACCCTTTAAAGAAATCAAGGAGGACAACTTTAGTTCCTGTTGCAAGATGTTCCAGGTTGCAGGAGCTGAGTAGGAAAAGGCCAAGTTCAGTCCGCACTTAGATGATAAAACACTACTAAACAACACTTGTCATGTGACTACTTTCTGTACAGTATAAATATAAACCACTTTATTCTTCTTCTTATTTTATTTTTTTAGTGCTTTTTATGACTGAAAGCTTGAGCTCTGCACAAGAATTCCAAAGTGTCTGGATTGTTTGTCTGTGCACAGATGGCAAATAAAGTACCTTTGTATCTTTTATACCTTCATACCTTACATGACAATAAAATAAGGGGTCCAAATAAACAACTTTACACTTAACAGCCTAAAAATAAATAAAAATTATTTGTTGTTCTGTTTGTTTATTTGTCATATGCAGGTTAGCACAAGGTCAACAATTCAATGACCTGTTCAGATCCAAAAGAAATATAGTAAAAGTGGTAGAATAATGTGGTGCAAGTAGATTAATTAGTATAAATATTTCCCCCGTAGTAATATTAGCTTAAATGCACTATATATATTGCACATGACTAGCATGTACTACAGGGGTTGTGTGACAGGTTATTGCACAGGTTATTTAAAACTGGAGCTCTGAGCTAAACTTCCTGGCCTCCATGTTATAGCCTTTTTCCATTGGCTTGACTCGGGTCAACTCGTCACAGGTTCAGTCTTTCCACTGGGAATACCCTCCTACTTTCTGCTCGCCCGAGGTTCCAACTGAACCAAGCTGCGATGAAGATTTAACATCAGCAGACAGCAGGGCATTAAGAGCGTCTCCATCACAAGAATCAAACCCACCATTTTTAAAACTTTGCAACTGTAGCATTCATTATTTCTATTCATTTTGACATTTTTATTGTTTTTGATTATATGCTGGTGAAGATTCTCAGTCATCCAGGACATGATGAATTCAAAAAGCGTTCAATACAAAAACAACTGGACTTTATTTGCAACAGGAGACATTTCGCTCCTCATCCGAGGAGCTTTCTCAATTCAAACAGCAGTGAGTGAGAGATTCAGGTTATAAGGCTGAGTGAGATAAGACACACACACATATGTAGATTGGCAATTCACACCTAAACACCTTAACAGTAGGGGTTTCTTAAGGTCTTTGTTCCTCTAATTCACAGACGAGGGCCCTCTGTTCACATCAGGTGTGAAAAACCGGCTGGGAATCTGTTTTAAAGTTGCATTATAGGTTTTTGAAAGTGGAAATATGAGGCCTCGTCCTCTGTTAAGAGACGGCTTTTCTCTTTTTACATAAATTGCTTCCTTCACCCCCCTCTCAAACCATCTGTGTTCTCGGTCCAAAATTTTCGTCCTCAAAAGAATGTCCCTTGTCTGTGAGGTGGAGGTGAACAGCTGAGTCTTGTCCTGAGGAAGTAGCTCTCCTGTGTTGAGCCATGCGTCTGTGAAGAGGCTTTTGATTATACTTTTATTTTAAGCATTTATGTTACACATTTTCATAATTGGTCAATCCAGTAGCCTCCCACTGGTCTTGATGCCAATGCCTGGTTTAAATGGTAGTGTTGACAGAACCAAACGCAAGGAGAGAGGCAACTGTAGGTTTATCACAACTGATATTGTCATCACAATATTTAATAATAATATTGCACATCACAAGTTTTTCTAATGTTGTGCAGCCGTACGAGTCGGTCTCCTCATGAGCACAGCCTGACACTTTGTAACTGTCCGTAAAAAAAGTTACGCTTCTTTTTTCTCAACATTAAACTTTCATTTAAGATATTTTCCTTCGACAGTCCAATTTTAATCAACTTTGCAGCTCTGACGTAAATTTAGTCTAATTTAATATCTGTTTTAATTATATGGCAGCAAGAATATATTTTACCTAACCCGCCTTTTTATCAGAAGGGTCACTGAAGTTCGTTTCAGCGAAATTAGAAAAACGGTGGTTTATAATTGTCATTTTAAAGAGGTTTTACCTCAAAATTTAAATTAAGAGTATTCTTCAAAGCCTTGTATTATTTATAATCATTCTGAAAACTTAGGTTACTCTTTTTTTTTTAATCTAGTGCCAGGCAGCTCATATGAAGCTAAGATTTCAATTTTATACACCGTATGGGAGCAGAATGACTAAAGAATTCATTAAGAGCTTAAACGTTAATTCATAATTGGTGCTAAAAAAAAAAAAGCATAAAATGTCCTTACCAGTATCTCCTTCCCCATGCCAGTTTGGGCAAGGTTGGGCTTCATTCCACTGCCGATCTGCCAAATAATCACCTCTGCAGGCTGATTCTTATAAGGCCACTCACGTGCATGTAGCTCGTACCAGATGGTCCTGTGAGGACAGTAGAGTGGGTCATTGCTCCGAACTGCCTCACTGTCTTTAAAAGACCTTTGTAAAGGCTCAGTCTAGCACAAACAGGCAACAAGCAACCAACAACTGTATCTATTCAGAAATATGTCTACATTTCTTTTCTTCTTGTAACATTTTTGTCCTTCATTTAGAGACTTCATTTTGGTTAATGCTGAATTAGTGAACAGCACCTCCCCTGTGCAAACAAGCCGCGTTCATTCTGCTCCTGCACGTCAAGTTTGAGTAGAATAAAAATAGCTTTTTGCTAGGAGTAAAGAAAAAAAACTGACGGCTGATTGTTGATGAATATGCATAACAGCCAACGGTGTCACCTCTAGGTAATACAAAGGCCAACAGAGCAGCGGGACATTGTGCACATTGTGCTGCACTTCTCTTCCCTTTGGAATAGTCTAACTATGAAAAGTCTCCATATGGAGAACCGTATGAAAATGCAATTGTGTTAGGAGTTGACAGAGCAGGATCAACCTCCACAAATGAAACTGTTATGGATGTGGAGGAGGAATTGGAGCCAAAAGGATTTTTAATCAACTTAGAGCACGTTTAAAATTGGGCATTAAAGGAGGAGATAGGACAGACTTTGGTCTGAGACTAAATTGACACTCAGAAAATAAATCTGTGTGGAATAAGTTGACTTAAAATGTATCACATAGATTTTAAAAAGACAAAGAGCAAACTAGTGTCATATTTTAAGAAGAATTGTAAATCCTTTTAATGGAAATATGAAACTTATTAAGTGGATGTAATTTGTCAAATTGAAAGATTACATTTATTATCACAAATATTCAAACTTTTAACCCCTTCATTAACTGCTTTTGTTGATATGAAATGTGTTTTAAATTGCTTTCAAATTATTATCTTACATTAACCTGAAATGAAGCCTGTCATTTAAAATGGGCACTTTTTTTATTCAATCAGCTTCTTTGGGATGTTACTGCCCATAATTTGATTGCTGAAAAACGATATGTATATTAGTATATATAGCAATCTTCTGATCTAATCATTTATATGTATTTTTTTTTAATGAAGGTGAAGAAATTGCTTTTTTTCCACAGCAGTATTTTGTTAACCAAACCCACCAAATCAGCCTTTGTCCATCTGTGCAGAAGAAATTTACAGAAACCCACCAGGGTGAGGTAAAGTTGTGAGTTGCAAAAATACAAGAAATTATTCTCTTTATTTTTATATAATTGTTTCTTTCTGAAGCAGTGTGTCCACCTTAAAGGCGTGAGAAAATATGGTCTTGACTTTTGTATTAAAAAACTAACTAAATAAATAAACATTTCCATAAAGGGTTAATTTAAAGTTTTTATATAACCCACTTTCTGGAATACCCCTAGCCCAAGTTGTTTTATTTTCTGAGAAACCCACAAAACTGCTCCTTTAAGCCAACCAGATACTTGGGGTTCGTAAACTCTGCTATAAATATCCTGGCTCCAACACTTTCAGGACAAACAACAAAGCAGGACATCTGGTTAGAGGACACACACCCAAAAGCAAAGACATCTGACTGTTTGGAGAAAGGAAGCTTGTCCTCCTCTGTGTCCGGAGAAAGCTGCTGGATTATTTCTGGGGCCAGGTGACACAGCCAGCCGTTGGGGATTCTCAGTTTGTCTTCTCTTCGGCTGCGGAGAGAAAATATGAAGAGGATGATTCACCGGGATCCATCAACATTTAGCTATTGATCCGTCATCACTCCGTAAAGCCTTGACAAGGATTCCTCAAACCTACAAGCAGAATGCGACGTATTAGTGCCTATATTGTCCAGCTACCACAATCTGTTTAAACGCATGAGGTAAAAGGTCCAGCGTGTTAAAGGTTTGTTTCACGTCATTGTGGGAACGGTTAAGATAAAGTACGAGCCCTCTGTGCTAGGCTGTTCACAGTAAACTGTTTATAAAGTGTGTATAAAAAAAGCCCGCTGAATTATAAAGCAACAATATGACGTGAAGAAAAGGAGAAGTAAATACACTTTATTATCTGTCCATTTCTCCTGTTGTAGTTCTTTAAAACAAGACATGATTCACAGTTTTGGCCTTACGGACATATTTTGTTATTCGGTCCTAGGAGTAGCCAGAATGAAAAAGAAAGCTATTTGGTGGGGGTTTGGGTGCAGTTTTGTTTTGTTTTGTTTGGTCTTGGCAGACTGGTGAACCTCTGCCCATTTTTACTTCTGAGTCAGCCTCCCCACCATCACAAACCTCTACACCTCCAGATGCAGGAAGAGGGCCACCTGCATCATGAAGGACCCCACTCACCCAGCACACACATCTATTTTGTCCCGCTCCCCTGAGGCAGGAGGTTCTAGTGACTAGACTGAGGAACAGCTTCTACCCTAAGGCTGTTAGACTCATGAATCTCTAACCAGGATAATCACTGTGAAAAAAAATCACATCATGTTGCTGCTGATCTGTTTCATGTTGCTGCTGATCTGTTTCATGCTGCTGTGTTCATTCGTGCTCATCTGCTCACACAGACTCATGTTCGTGCTGCTGTTCAGTGTATTGTTTTTGTGATACTGTGCTTAGTATACTTATAGTTAATGTTTTTCTTTATTTCATATCTTAAATATTATTACTGTTTCTCTGTTACATTTTATACATTCGTTGGATGCAACTGGGACCCTGTTTACACAATTTTGTTCCACCACATGTACCACATGTGGTGCAAATGACAAATAAAAAAACCTCAGAATCTTGAGAGATTCAGTTTCTTTTTATACTCGGTTCTCTTACTGAACTTTAGTCAATCAACTTCCCCTCCAGCTGCTTTTTAATTGTACCACTTACTTTAACAACATTTTGTTGCTCCATTGCGTATTTTCAACATTTGATATGTTTAATACGTTCCAATGAGAATAAAATAGGGGTTTAGAGGATAAGATAAAGATAGAGCTTTATTGATCCTGCACAAAACTGTTGTGCCAGAGTTACAATACAAAGGAACATACACAAGGAATCAAGTCAAGATATAAAAAATAACAGAATATAAAAATACCAACAATTAAGGTCTAAAACAGGTCAGGTGCAGACAGAAACATTAAAGTGTTTATTGTGGTGCAGGAGTAATTTTATTGTCCTATGTGTAGAAAGGGGGAGGAGTTGAAAGTTTGATAGCCACAGGGAGGAAGGACTTCCTGTGTTGTTCTGTGGAGCACCTCAATGGTCTCAGTCTACGACTGAAGGTGCTGCGGTAAGAGTCCAGTGTGTCATGCAGGGGGTGTGACGTGTTGTTCAGGATCTGGAGTGGTTTCCTCAGCATCCTCTGCTCAGACACCTCTGTCAGAGACTGCAGGTCCACTTCCAGAACTGAACCAGCTCTCTGGATGAGCTTATCAAGTTTGTTGGCATCAGCTTTCTTCACCCTGCTGCCCCAGCACACCACAGAATAGAAGAAGACGCTGGATCTGCAGCATGGTCCTGCAGATGTTAAAGGACACGAGTCTCCTCAGAAGATAAAGGCAACTCTGTCCTTTCTTGTAGAAGGCATTGGTGTTAGCTGTCCAGTCCAGTTTATTGTCTAGGACCCCCAGGTACTTGTAGCAGTCCAAAGTGTCCACCTTAGTACCCTTGATGTTGATACGGTTGGGGGACTGGTCTTCTTCTTGTAGTCCACCTGCAACTCTTTAGTTTTTCCAACGTTGAGCTGCAGGTGGTTCTGTCTAGACTACTCCACAAAGCTGTCCACCCCATCTCTGTATTCAGCTTCCTGGTCACCAGTGATGCAGCCCACAATGCCAGAGTCATCCGAGAACTTCTGCAGATGGCAGGATTGTGAGTTGTACCTGAAGTCCGAGGTGTAGAGGGTGAACAGAAAGGTGAGAGGACCGTCCCCTGAGGAACCCCTGTGCTGCTCAGTATGGTGTCTGAGATGGTGTTCTGCAGCCTCACATACTGTGGTCGACCTGTGAGGTAGTCTCTGATGCAGGTGAGCAGAGAGTCATTCACCTGCATGTTCAGGAGATTACTGCAGAGTAGAGCAGGTCACATGGTGTTAAAAGCACTGGAAAAGTCGAAGCACATTTCTCTTACAGTGCTGCCTGCCCCGGTCAGGTGCGTGTAGGCTCTGTGCAGCAGGTAGATGATGGCGTCATCAACTCTGATGCATGGCTGGCATCGTGGCTGGCATACAAACTGTAGGAGGTCCAGGTATGGTTCCACCACTGATCTGATGTGCTTAAAGATCAGCCTCTCCTGTGACTTCATGGCATGTGATGTCAAGGAGACAGATCAGTCATGGAAACAAAATGCCATTTCTTAAATATAAAATGGTTTCATACCTAATTCCTTTCAAGTACTGACTTGTTGCTCGGTGATACTGATGCAATTTATTGGCGTTTAGTTAAAAATGTGCATAATTATACCTGCTTTAAATGAAAACAACCAACAGTGTGACCATTTTGAAAAGGATAAATTAGTAACATGTGTGGAACATGCTAAAATATCTGCAGTGAAAAGACCTGAATGTTTTGAGTAGATGTATTACTGGCATATTTAAGGTAAATTCACCTATTGCGTATAATCCGCCAATTATACACGGTGGTATAATTACATCCATTTATTTGTTTTCCTGTGCTTGCAGGATGTGGTATTTCAGACTGTGGATTTCCTACTGGTGTGTTTCCAGATTTCACAACCTCCAAACATTTTCTTGGATGCCGATGAAAGATTACGTCCCTTTAGGTCAATCTTGAGTGCACACAATACGGGATGACTGGTGTGCTCTGCGTGTCATGGCAAATTACAGAAAATATCCTCTGTCTGTTGTGAGAGGCAGCTCGCAGCATTTTGATCACACCAGTGATTCATCGTTTTCCTTGTGCGACATTTCTGTTTGGACTGTCTGTACTGACAAATATATACAAGCAATGATGGATTTCTCTGCTCGTCCATGATCTGTTTTTTTCCTCTCCTGAACGCCTCTGTTCACCACCATTTCAGTAAAATAAAATAAAAGTAGGAACGTCTGCTATAGAAGCATCACAGATAGAAGAAAGTTTTCAAATGTTCTCTAAAACTTTAACCGATGTTAGGCGTTATATTTTGATAAGTTGAAAAAATAATGTGCAAAAACTATTTTATTAGAACCTGTTTTATTTGATGGATAAATTAATCTATTTCAATTATTTTGGAAAAAATACAAATAAAAAATAATAAAATGAATCCTTATGTATGCCCCATTTACTATAGGCACCATTCATTACAATTTAATTGCATTTTTAGCACATTGTCCATTTGTAAGCCTTTCCTTTAGCCAGCTTTGGCTTTAGTCTCTTTTACTGGTATTGCTATGGCAAATGTCAGCTTAATGGAGGATTTTGATGGACTTTAGATAGGAGACTATTTCTAGTGAGCTTAAAACAGATGATCTCCTTTTCAACCTTTATTTTGTGCTTTTTAACTTGAGCTTGAAGATAAATGTGCTGCTAAAAACCTAAGACCTTCAATTCAAAGCTAGTTGTGTCATAATAGGGACCTGTATTGATCTAAATTCTAGAAACAATTTATGCTAAAATGTGAGAAAAAAAAAAACAAGGTTGTTGTTGCAGATGTTCTTTTGAATTATTAGTTATAATACTTTTTAATACAATGTGTTGGAACATGGCTTTCTTGTTCTCACCATGTTTTAGAAATATAGTTACCAAAATAAACCAACAATTTTCTCATTAAAACTGCTTTTTTTTCATAATCTGCAAGTAATCTTTTGTTATTTATAGTATTTTTCACAACTGAACTGTTCAAATTTTTGTGTGAAGATGTTTAAAACTGCAAGAAGCAGCAGGGGTGTAAGGCTCAGCAACTACAGATAAAATATATAAAAAATACTGAAACATTTAACAGATAGGGATTTGATTTGGCCTATGGTGTTAAAATCTGCAATAAATTACTAAAAATGTCTGAAATTACATAAAAACTCTAAATGATATGGCCACTTTGTTCATGTGTGCAAATTAAATTGCATTAATTGAGCATTTTGATGCTAACGTGTCAGTCTTTTACTACAAGATTAATGTCTGATCACATTTCGGATGTGTTTCACACATACATACCTTCCAGCCTGCAGAACTCCTGATATGGTAAAAAGTCCAAAGTCAGTGATGATGATTTTGCCGTTGTCATAAAACACGTTCTTGGACTTCATGTCTTTGTGTAAAATCCCCTTAGCGTGGAGGTAACCCATCCCCTGAGGAAAAATGGAGGAAACATGTGACTGCCCTGTAATATGATGTGCACTGCTGACGTGCTCGGAGAAATCAATGCTGATTTATTTTACCTTCACCATCTCTTGTGCAATCTGTCGTGTCTTGTTAACATCCAGGACAACCTTGGGATCCCGCACCACAGAGTAAAGTGTCCTGCCTTTACACAAGCTGACAGAGGAGGTAAAGATCAGGGGACACAAGGCAGGATTACTGTGATTTATGAGATCTGCTTTTGTCAAGGAACAAAACACTGAAGTAGACGCTAAGACGTGCTAAATTACCATCAGCATCACATTTCATCTGTTTGTCAAACTCTCTTGTGGATGTCTACATCTGTTTACAGACCCTATAAATTCATAGACTTTTTATTTCAAAATAATTCTGCTGTTTGTGTGTTTGTACGGCTGTTACTAAAACATCTCATGAGCAACAGTGGGAATTTTAATGCATCATGCAGTAAAAAAAAAAAAATTGAATGTAAATCTACTTTTGGATTCAGCTCATTTAAATATGAATGCCAGAGCCAACAGATGTTAGAAACTAAGTTATATTTGTAAAATGTTGACCTAGTGTTTAGTGTGGTAGTAGCTGAGACTGGTCCTCACATATTTTGAGCCCTAACAGATTTTGCGAGAGCTGGAGGTTTGGAGCCACTTCACGATGGCCACGACAGCAAACTGACCTTAAGTATCATAAAAATCACCATAATTTAGACAATATTCACGTCATTTAGACAATATTAACAAATGTTTTCCCAAAATAGGGTGTGGTTGTAATATAATTTACAAAGCTTCCTTTAAGTGCTACCCACTGTGTGAAGCCTTTGCATAAACTCTTAGCGTCTACCCTGTTTATTAGTCAGTAAAATATTTAAATAACTACCAGACAGATTTTTTTTTTTTTTTTTACAAATTATTCATTGGATGTGCATCTAAAATGAATAACTTTCTGAAGTATGTGTCAGATTTAAGATGAGTCCAACAGATAATCAACAACAGCCAACACAAAAAATTGCTATAATTCGATCAATGTTTCTCTACATAAGAGCTTAGTCAAAAACTCTGAACTGTAAAGGAGATGAATTTCATCATATAACGCAAGGCCTTTAAGCTCATAATGCATTCCTGATTATTACATTTCAGTTAGTCTGTCATATTCCTGTAGGAGTAGCATCATGGCTGTGTTTAGATAAAGAGCCTCACAACCAGCAACATATAAAACTTCAACCCTGTCCTCACCAGATGACCAGCAAAGGACCTGAGGCATGCTCATGCTCATTCCCAACAAGCTGACAACAGCTAAACTTTATTTCTTTACATAAACACAAAGATGCAGCCTATGTACATAAAGGAAGTGCCACATATATGTAAAATTGAAAAACCTAACAAGGCAACCTCAGCACACTAAAAATTTTTCCCAGTGCTTTGAAAAAAGTAATTGTTTTGTTTGTCATATGCAAAGATAGAAACACTGCAACTACGTCACAGGTGACGTCAAATGCATGAAACATTTTCTATTCTGCTCTGCAGGATCAATCCAGAGTCAGTCACAAAGAAGAAAGTCGAAAAAGAAAAAGGCAATCAATATTATTTTTTTTACCAATGCAAACTTGAAATACTCCTTGTGAGGAAACTGTAGCAGTTCACTTTGAATTGATTTTACGGCAGAGTTGGGCATTGGTTTGAACTGAAAGAGTGGGATAAAACTGAAAAAATATATATATATTTTTTCTTTATTGTCTCTTGTAGTGGCGTGAACATGGAGCATAGAAAATACCCTCTGTCTTACCGTTCGTCCATCTGTGAATGTTGTGACCATGATAATTTGAAATATAAGAGAGGTACCGACTTCCATTTTGGTGTGTGGCTGCTTCTTGACTTAAGAAAGGTTTCTTTTGTAAATTGGGTTTCTACATCAAAATCCAAAATGGCTGCATATACATATATATATATATATATATATATAAATTACTCAGACTAACTGAAATGTAATAAGGAATGCATTATGAGATTAAAAGCCTTGCATTATGTGAAGGAATGCATCTCACCTGCCACTTTACAGGTCAGAGTTTTTGACTAAGCTCT